AAACAGCGGGTGGGTCTTCTGCTGCACGTGTCTCTTTTTTGTATTTTATAATAGATTCCCCGCTAGGGTTTACCTTTAGGAGTTTTAGAAAAATAAAAAAAAGAACACGTGGCAGCAGAAGACCCACCCGGTGTTTTTCACCGGGTGTAGCATCGAAGGAACCTAGGTAGCATCGAGGCTGTCGGGTGGCGGGTGACGTGTAATAGAGTGCACGGTCACAGCTGTGCAACTTTTTATTCTTCTTCTGCTGATGTTATTTTTCGTACGGACACGTCTTATCAAGTTTTGGTTTTGTGCTACCTTGTGTAACCCTACCAAGACCCAGGACTGGGGAAGAAGACAACGTAGAAACAAAAACGTGAACAGCACTATAGCAGCCCCACTTGCCTTAGTGGCTTTTATTTATTATATTTTTTACAACACTCTCACGTGCCTGTCCTCCCTATGCACGTGCCCCAACTTTAGGGTTTATTTTTTCAAGATTCTCATTATTTTTCTCTAAAATGTGTGGCTAACTTGAGCATCAAACCGTTTTTCACTACCCTAATGTGTATTATTAATGGGTATTATAATAATAATAATAATAATAATAATAATAATAATAATAATAATAATAATAATAATAATAATAATAAAATTATGATTATATTATTATTATTATTATTATTATTATTAAACAAATAAATAAATATATGTTTGGCTCTAATAAGTTATATGTTCAAACCATAAATATATTTATTATCAGAAAACAATTAAAACATAACATTAAATTTATAATTTTGTGATATATTTGGTGCAATACCATGGGAGACCAAACCAAATGCTATTCTCTATAAATAAGAAAATTGTGAAATATTATTATTTTATTATTTGGTGTAAAATTTGATGGAATTGGTGAGAGACTAAATACACTATTTTTCACCAAAAGTAGTGAAATCGTAGAATGGTGTGCTAAGGGCATCTCCGACCGGACGCCATAACGCCATTTTTTCATCTAATTTATGTGTTTTTAGCCTCCTACCCAAAGTTCCTATATCACCATTACATTTAAAATATAAATACGTTTGTTATTATTAACAAAACATTAAGTCTAATAATATAAATATGCTTATTTTTAATTAATTTTTATATTTTGTTGGTATCAATGTTTATTAGTTCATTTCTTTACTTAACTAATATGCTAATTGCTTTTAATAAAATATAATAAGCAACAATAGAATGATTAACGAAACACACTTTAATTGATGAAATACAGGACGATACATTTATAGACATTTAATAGAATGATAACGTAATTTTTAAATTATATAGTTAAGAAAATTTATTACTTAGCATTGGATCGATAATTAATATTTAGGAAATAAAATATTATAAAATTACGATTAACATTAGATTTACATTTCCTGTGGTGAAATAGTAAAATATTATTATTTTAATATTTGGTCTAAATTTTGGTGAAACCCATTGGAGACCAAAAACACCATTTTTCCAACAAAAATAGTGGAAGAGTAAAATGGTGTGCTATCGGTGGAAGATAAACCCATTTTTTCACCATCATAAATGGGATTTGATGAAAAAATGATAAGACCGGTCGGAGATGCTCTAAGGGTGGGAGATAAACTCATTTTCTCACCACGAAAAACAGGATTTGATGAAACAAATACTGACGACGTAAGAAGATGCTCTTATGTATGTATCTATATTTCGAGATGGTGATTGATGAGAATCTATAACTATTATTGGATTAATCTTTTGAGAAATCATTCATTCAAAAGGGGGAAAGGCTCACCCATTTGTAGCAGTAGTACCTCAAAAAGATTCGTGGCCATCAACTTTATAAAAGACAAAAATCACTTAATTATTACTCTCTTTATTGTCTTGATAAATGAAATAAAATAAATAAATAAAAAATGAAAAAAAAAACGTTTTTTTTTAATTTAATTTTTTATTTTGAAATATCCAACCCTCAAAATCTTGGTTGGAAATGCAAGATCGATGATAAATGATAGAAACTGGACAAGAAGTAGTTGTCAGCAAGTCTTCAGCTGGGATGCAATTGGCCTATGAAGTCTATTTGTCCGATAATAAAAATTGTAGTTTAAGAAAAATAAATAAATAAATTATGACTAGTCGAAAGACACATACAAATCTCAGGCCCATGTGATGTGAGTGCGTGTAACGACCCTATACCTAATTACCCAAATTAAATTAATTGAATATTTCCTTAAAACACCGTCGTTTTGTTTTCCTAAATTTAGTTAATCATTTTCACACATCTCAAATCAATCCCTTAAAAAATATCTACACATAAGTACTCTTTCCTCACGTTCTACGAGATGCTACATCCACTGAGATACACCCGCGAAAGGGTTATCTGATATTTATACATAATAACACAAACACAGATGTGCATACGTGCTTCATGGGTGGTGATGTGTATTTTATCAAATGTAGCATCTACATTTCTCAAATTTGGCGGTAGGGATGCGAACGAGCCGAGCTCACCAGAATTTCTAGGCTCAAGCTCATGCTTGTGTCCAATTTAGCGAGCTCGAGCACGAGCTTTCATTTTCCATGCTAAGCTCCACTGGATTCATCGAGCTCGAGTTCAACTCATTTCGTTATATTTTTTTTTTTTCTAATTTTTATATTAATATTGCTTTATTTTATCAGTATAAATTATTTATGACTATAAAAATAAAAATACAAGGGAGTTATGTGCACAAACAGTACCTTAGACTAGTTAGGAGAGTTATGTGCTTATATTAAAAGTACAAGGGAGTCATGTGCACAAAGTTCAAACCTTAGGGGGTTTAAATGTTATTTATCCTATTTTTGTGTGTCATTTAATGATTTTACTTTAAAAGGCCCAATCTCAATGAAAAGCCCTAATTGATATTATATAATGAATAGGGCCCAAAACTCCATGATCGGCCCATGTTTAATGAAGTCGTTCAAAGAGAGAATATTCTTTCAACTAATCATTTTCTTTTTTTGCTAATTCATTATAAAAAAGAAACCAGGGTTTAAATAGAATGGCAATTATATGGACTAATTAATATTAATATAGATTTTAAGGTACCAAAAACAACAGGCTGCTGTCAGGAAATTAGTCTAGGAGAAAAGCACGTCCGAGATTAGTGGCAAGAGCTAACCTCACTGATTTCAAGGCATCGGATGGCAAATCAGAAGCAACGAATCCCGGAAGTAGTTTTGCTAATGATAGCTCTTGCAGTTTATTCAATAAAATATTGGTCTCGGAAACGTTGAGCAACGGACTTTCCTTCCAATTCAGCAATTTCAGCTGCAATAATATATAACAGTTGGTAAATAAATTAAACACTAGTGTTTGAGTTACTGCTGTTTCTTGATTTTGTCGAGTATTAAATATGGCAGAAATCAACAAAGCGAAGATTGTTTACCGAGTCGTATAAGAGGGGTAGCCAAAATTGTTGTGGTGTAGAAGGGTTTCTCATGAGCTGAAAAAAAAGCATAAAAAGGCAAATTATAGTATTTATAAGGCCGTTTTTTTTTTTAATTTTAAATAATCGTAAATGCATCAAACATACAGATATAAGGGCTTCTGCCGCTTTCCGAGCATTATCAGTTGTAATTCCGTCCTGAACTTGTTGGAGGGATCTTCTGAAATCCCTGTACCTGAGGAACATAAAAGAAGGCTGAAAATGGTGCAGAAAGCATATACGGAAGAAAATTCAGTGATTTTTCCTTAATGGAACGTTTTTATATGGAATGATTGAGATATTTCATACTTCTTCAAGAACTCGAGACCTCCAGCAGTTTTTGATTCGGTCCCCAGCAATTCAATCATTCCTTCCCATTGCTGCAGAAAAATCCCAAATTAGTTGGTCTATTTATTTAGCAAGTACAAAAAAAAATTCATTTGTTATAAATAACACAATTAAATTACCTTGAAACTTTCATCAGAAACTGATTTTCCAACAAAATCAAATAAATGCTTGGCAATTCGGTTTAGGCGAACGTCATCTTGAGCTTGTTGAAGCCAGAACACAGCTGAACCCTTCTTGCCATGTTTCCAGTAATGAACTCCAGCAATCTACTCAAAGAAATTGCCATATTTCGAAACAAAATGAATAGTGAATTCCAAGATTGATTATAAAAGCACGTAAAATGAAGAAAAGCAGTACGGATATCAGTACATGAGATATTGTTTATTATCTAAAACATACCTTCATTATATCATCACTAACACGATCAAGTCCATTGAGACGGCAAATTTCTATGCTCTGATTAAAAGAGAAGATAAGAATGTTGATGGCAAATATAGATATCAAGATTTAAACGAAAAAGAAAAAAAAAAAATTGGAGCTGAGTTACCTTTAGTAACACTTGATGATGCTGTACGGGCTGATTGTACAGTAAATTCTCCAACAAGCCCATTCCTTGCTTCATACATGATGTCAGATATATAGGAGCAATCTGAAGGACCATAATAATTAAAATAGATAACGCAGTTTAATGAAGGAATACAGGATAGCTGAGAAAGGTCAAACTGTATAGCCCACTGACGAATTAAGTGAAATTGACTAAAATAATTATAATCGCTATGCACGGGAGAGAATAAAGATGACATGGGCAAAAGTTGCATAAAATAAATTTGAAGCTTCCGAAACCAAATTGGCAGAAACCTCACACATACACACATGCTATTTAAAATTTCCACCACCAAATTAGTGAAACAAAATGCAATTGTTAATCAAAGCAAGCGTTACCAATAAGAAATGCAGTTCACATTTCGAGAAGTAATCATCAAGGCAAATCCCAAAAAGTTGCAGAAACAAATAAGCAACATAAACATTAATGCCAAAAGAAAATTATCCAGGGGCTTCTTACATTCCATGTCAAGGCATGAGAGGATAGAATTTGGGCATAAGTCAGTCGGTGGAGCTCTTCTATGCAGATTCCTCCCAGTTTAGACTGCTCTTCATGCAACAGATTTTCTGCTTGAGCGCTCCCAGCTGTCAGCAGCTCTAGAGCATGGGTTATCATCCTTTTCACACAAAAAAAAAGACTCCTCGTTACATGTGATATCAATTCTGTCATTTTGGATCTCTATTCTCACAATTATGTTTATTCACTTACCAAATTAGCAGTCTATGAAAGGAAAAAAAAGAAAATATAAGACAAGAAAGCTTTCTTACCAGGGGCCAAATGATCTTGAGCATTCAGCTAGAACTACCTAAATTATCAAAAAGATTAGTCATTAATAGCCGAATGGAAAGGCAGCAAGTAAATAATGCTGAACCAAGGTTAAGATTCCTCACCTCTGTATTTTCTTCTAGAATCCCAAGTGCGAGTCCCATCAACTTATGGCGATTGGAAATTGGTTTTAAATGCATGCATTTCTCAGCTAGGCTATACATGCTTTCTAAACCCTGCAATAGAATACTTATTTTAAATATAAATAACACTCTTTATTTAGTCTTCCAATTAACATAGGCTAGATTTAAAAAAAAAAAAAGACACATACTGAAAAAACAGTTAATCAAGAAAGTTGCACTGACCACAGTGAAAGGCCTGATGTACAAAAAGTGGGATATGTAAAGCTCCATCCAGTGGCATGTTACATTGGAGAGAAGGCTAGCATTTCCCAACATGATTTGAAGCATATTTTTCAGTCCAACTCTCGTCTGCTGGTGATCACATTGAAGCCAGAATGCACTACAATCCAATTTAGTAATTTGACCTCTCCATTTCTCCCATGCCTGACGAATACAATGTATCAAGAAAATCACAGCTCACTGTTCAATAGATAAAAAAATAGTAAGGCTCTGTTGTACCTTCATAAACTCGGGTTTGGTGTTGTAGCATTCTCCTAACTTTTCTGTTGGTAGATCTGGCCTTAGACGTGGCATCTGTGATATAAGAAGAGCAACTGCTTCTACAAGTCCATTCTCTATCTGTTTCACATAGATGCAAATGATTCAGATGTTATTCCTAATTTAAGATGAGTAGGTACTAAATCAAATTATTTCTAGAAAAATGCATATAATATAATAATAAACTCCCTAACCTCACGACTTCCTAGCTGGTCGTACATATAAGATCCATGCAAGCGCAGCAATTTTACCTGCAAGTAATAGTTTAAATACAAGAAGCACATATAGATATTCTCAATTTAAAATAGAAGACATTTCATCAATAAAATAGAACTTACAACAACATCAAGCCAGCCAATTGCTAAAGCTGATGATATAACTTCCCAATACTCAGGATGATTCTCAACTGCCTGGAGAGAGAAAATAAATGGCAGGAAAATAAATAGACTGAATAGTTTACTGAAAGCTGCAATTAATATACTGTCAAGGAAGAGCTAATAAATTAAAACTTTGCATCCTCATGAGAATATTAAGAATGAAAACTTCACTATATCATCATTTCTAGCAACCAACTAATGAAGAATACAAAGGTACACTGATATACATATTTTCAAACCAAATAAATACATTAAAATAGTGTATATGGCAGATGTTAAACATACATTCAGAATTTTGTTTATCCAGAAGCTATGGTTTTAGCATCGGATATATCAGCACAAAATTCAACAAGAAAGAAATGGGTCTGGTAAATGAAATGTCAAATTTGAACTGTAGTCCCACATCACAGACTCCCGCTACAAACAAGTATCCTCTTCATAAAAATAAAAATAAAAATAAAAATAAAAATAAAAATAAAAATAAACAAGTAAAGACCTGTATAGTGACAAGTTCTTTTTGGAAAGCGACAAGTTTCGAATGGACTGTTGGCTGAGTTCCAGAGAACAGACAATCAAAATCCTGTCGAAGAAAGCAAGCGTTGTTGTTTCCAATGGATAAAAAAATGATAAGTGAGGGAAGAAAGTCAAACATTAAAAAGTCCATACAGCTAACCAATCAAGAAGGCGTTCAGGGATCCATGTCTGAGATTGCTTATCTGCGTAAAACATTTCCAGCAGCTCCCAGGCAGCTTTCACAGATGTTGGCTCCTCAACTGCCTGCTTTTGTGTGTAACCATCAGTTGATTAAGGAATCCTAAATATTAGATAAGCAGCGACATTGCAGAAATCTACCGAAAACCAAGACTCACCCTCAATACCGTTTTCGGATCTTCGATCATTGGAGTAGCAGATGACTTTGAATTACCCAGAAGGGAACTTATTTCCTTGCTGTAGTCCATTACATGTTCCCACCTGTTAAGTTATACAAAATAAGTCCAGTATTTCGACAAGGAATTTAATAAAACTGAACAACAGTTAGATAGAATTTAACGGATTAACCAGAAAGATACGAGACTTTTGCTAGACATGGGAAACGTAAAGATACACAACAATACAAGGGATAAATGTTACAATGTAGTAGTCATGACATGTGACTAAGATTACACAAGTGAAACCAGTTCTTTTGCACGAACACAAACACAAGTTATTAGGTCTTTTTGGTAACTCCGAAACTAAAATGTAACTATATTTATGATTACTCAATTTAGACTTTAGAGGGAGCCCAAGCGACTTCCAATTTAACAAAGCTGTCTATACGGCACTTCTTATTCATAACAAGGATATAACTAGAGAGCATCGCTTGGAGACTAGCTCAAGAGAACAAACATCCTCCAAATACTTTTATGCTAGAAATTCCATAAATATAAGCTACTGAATACTAGTAATCATCGGTCATTAAGACAAGCATCTACTGTGCACAGCAGCAACAAGTCAATCAATGAAATTCCAACCAAAATAGCTGAATCCTCAATTCTCACAAAGTTAATCCAATCTTGTAATACACCATTCTTTCAAACTTCATCAATTTCAAAATCAACACTACCTCAATTCAGGGAAGAAAAAGAAAAGAAAATCAAAGCACTAAAAAGGGAGCTAGAATGAACTACCAATCTTTTTCATAGTGAAACGAGTCGATCGAACTCTTTCGGCTTTGAAGAAGAGCAAAAGGGGCAACTGAGCCGTACGCAATCCTCCGCCACCGCGCGTCGGAGATTTCTCCTCCATCCGCTTCGGCGAGTTTTACTTCCACCACTTCTCCGCCTACACTCTGCTCCGATACTGCATCATCGGACTGCAGGAGCGTAACGCGGAGCGTATTGCCACGCGCCCATGAGATGGAGAGGCGTGCGAACGGGGGAGTGGCGCGGTGCGTCCGCAGAGGGTAAACTCTTGCAGCTTGCGCGTCCAGTGAATGGGGAACGACGGAGAGGGAGCCGAATTCCCCGGCATCTGACGTCATTCCCGGCATATTTGCCGGAATATTCTTCGAGGGTTTTGCAAAGGGCTTTTAGACTGAGGGGTATATTTTCGAAATAAAAGGACGATGTGTCTTTTCTTTTTCAATGCTAAAGTCGCGTTTTCGAAGTATAATCGTTGTTCTTCATAAAACCCTACTTTTCTAATACCCCTCTCTCTCTCTCTCTCTCTCTCCAAACTCAAAACCCTAGAGAGAGAAAGAGCCTGCGATCTCGCGAAGATGTCGATGTCGAAGAGTTCAAAGATGCTGCAGTACATCAATTACCGAATGCGGGTGACGATCCAAGACGGCCGTCAGCTTATCGGAAAATTCATGGCGTTCGACCGGCACATGAACCTCGTCCTCGGCGACTGCGAAGAGTTCCGTAAACTACCTCCGACGAAAGGCTCCAAGGAGGAGCGCGAGGACCGCCGCACCCTCGGCCTCGTCCTCCTCAGGGGCGAAGAAGTCATTTCACTCACCGTCGAAGGCCCCCCTCCCCCCGACGACTCCCGTCTCAAAACCACCTCCGCCAACGCCGTCCCCGGCCCTGGAATTGGACGCGCCGCCGGACGCGGCGTCGTCACTGGCCCGCTCACACAGGCTCAGCCCGGCCTGTCCGGGCCCGTACGCGGCGTCGGTGGGCCCGCCCCGGGAATGATGCAGCCCCAAATTTCTCGGCCTCCTCAGATATCCGTTCCGCCTCTCTCCTACCCTCCGCAGCCTCAGATTGTTAGACCGCCGTCTGGTGCTCCTCCGCCCGGAGCGTACCCTCCTAGGCCCGGAATGCAAATGCAGCCGCCGCCGCAGTTCAGGCCCGGTATGCCTCCACCGGGTCAATTCGCTCCTCCCCCTCAGTATGGACAGAGACCCCCAATGATGCCACCACCTCAAATGATGAGGGGGCCGCCGCCCCCTGGTGGTCCACCTAGGCCTGGAATGCCCGGGCAGCAGCCGCCAAGACCTGGAATGCCACCTCCGCCACCTGCTGGACAAGTTCAGATGTTTGGTCCACCTAGGCCAGGAATGCCGCCTCCACCCAATCCTCAAAATCAGCAGTAAAAACGAAAAGGTATGTATCCATTTGGTACTTTCATTTGTGTATATTTGTTTGGTTAGTTTAGTTCTATTCGTTTTCGGAAAGATAGAAGGTTAATTACATATATTCCGCAACAATATGCCCCGTTAATATTACACAATTGTTAAACTGAAGATAGATCATTGACTTGTATTACTTCATCGTGTGAGCTCTGGAGTAGCCGATTCGGTTACTTTATTTGATTCGTAACCTTTCCCGATTGTTGGATTTCTGTTATAGAGTATGTTTGTTGGATTTCTGTTATAGAGTATGTTTGATTTCAGTCGTCCCAAATGGATTTGAAGCATATGTTAATGTTAGTAAACAATCTTATCTTGATGTTACTGTAATAGATATTAATTTGTAAAACCAGTGATCGATGGCGATAACAAAATCTAAAGAAATAATTGAAAGTAAATGTATAATTTAGAGCGTGACACAGTAGAAAATGTATGATTTCAAGCCTCTCCACATTTTCTACTATGCGACTCTCTAAATTATACAGTTTACTTTCAAAAAAAATTCTAGATTTTTGAATTGACTCATTCTTTTTATTGCATTGCAAATGTGCGATTCGTATGTGAAAATATATCGTTGAACATGACCTTATTTCGTTTCGCTCAATTTGTTGGATTGTGTCTAGTATTTCCTGTAATGTTGGTTATGTTTCAATTCACTTGGCTGAAACTGATCTTGTTATTTAATCAATATCTGACAAAAAAAATTGGTCCCGTAATTTGGCAGGGGATTTCTCGAGTTCATTTGTTTGACAGCCATGAAGGATCATCTCGAAGAAGAAAAGCTATCGGTGGATTTGGACGAGCCCCTTGTGATGTGTAGTAATGAGATGTTCATTAAGTAATTAGCGGTATTTAGGATTTCTTTATGATGCCATTTACAAAGTATATGATGATGAATACCTTACATGCTCGTTTCGCAATTCACATTTTGTTGGATTCGTGCGAATTTGGCGGATTTTCTTTCATGCATGTGGCTAATGCAATCTTACTTTGCTTAATCGAAAAAAAAAAAGTGATGTACCTGTTTACGACTTGAAGTCGATGATTCTGCTGGTTTCTTAGCTGAAAGAACATGCCATTAGTTAGAAGTGAACTAGTTCGATTTGTGATTGGTTGGTCATAATCTTTTCATTTTTTTTCCTGCAAAATATTATTATTCTGTCACATATTTTATTTCTTGTATATTGATTTTTGTTTTTTTTTCTTATAAAGAATTGTGTCACCATGAAAAAGAAGAGTTTTGTGCTACGTAAAACAGAACCTTCAACTTCTCAACCCTCATTTTGGGATATTTTGTTTCCCCGTATCCGTGTCCGTGCTACGTAGGTATTGTGGTAAACTTGACTATTTCTATCATCTTTCAAATTTTGTGTTGAAGTATATATATTGTGTAACCCTTCTTCGAACTATATCCGAAGTTACTTTGAGATGTTCTTATATCATCCATTTGAGTTTGTATTAAATGTAAAATTTTGTTGAGTAAGTTAAGAAAATTTGACTCAAATTCCACCTCAATTGGAGGCAAATATTTATCAAAATTCATGAGAATAGTTACGTTGTAATAACAAATTGCAATTGGGCCTATTAAAAAGCCAACATTTTCCAGAAATTTGCAATTAGGCCCAATTAAAAGCCCATATTAGATAGCAACGAAACGACGGCGTATGAAGCTGCTTCTTCTTCTTCTTCACATTTTATCTGGTTCCGGAACTACTACTACTATGCCACTGACCAACTTCATTCATAGACGATGGGTTCTCCCTCCTCCAAAAAGGTATCATCCTCTTTTCCTTCATTTTCTTTTTTTCTATTTCTTATTAAATTTAATAATAAATTATCTCGAATTATTTATTTTATAAAAAAAAAAAACAGGAAAAGGAATGGTTGGGAGTGAGTTTCAAGCCGGAGAACTTAATACCGGGCCTGATAATCGGGTTCATATTGGGTTTTTTCTTCGATTTGTCGAACCAATCTAAAACCTCTAATCCCAAACAAATTCGCAACAATCAACAAAACAATATGTCCACCAACTCCGACCAAGAACTCAAAATGGTCTGCCATTTTTTTTTCTTTTTTTTTTTGCTTTTCTTTATGTGGATGATTGTGCTGTAATGCTTCACTTTATATAACATTTGCTGTTTAGATGATGAAATTAGATTGCCCTATGTTAATAACTGAAAAATGTTTCAAAGTTTTTAACTTCTTTTATGTCTTAAAATTCTCCACGTGTAATTCCGATTAATCGGTAAAAAAAAAAATCTGCGAAACGAGACTGTAATTCATAAATTGTGTGTCTGTGTGTGTGTGTGTGTGTGTTTGTTTTATTACAGGAGCTATTAGAATTGAATAATCCTACATCGCGTAAAACAGTAGAAATTAGCCTCTGATTTTGTTTTGATTTTTGTTTTTTTATTGCAAAATGTGAGCGTATTTCGTACGCAAACATTGACAAAGAGGTGCGCGAAGTTGTACGGTTATATGTTTTAAAAAAGAAAATATCGACACGGTTGCCTAATTCTGTTGGCAGGTATTAGTAGTTAGGCAAGACCTGAAAATGGGATCCGGGAAAATCGCTTCTCAATGCGCGCGTAAGTTATTTCAGATGTTAAAAACCCGTTTCTTTAGTTTCCTTATTGTTATTATAATCTCTTGTTTTTACAGATGCTGCCACTGGAATGTACTCCGAACTTATTCAAAGGTCTCTATACTTAACCCTAATTACAGTGTGATTATTATCTTTTCTGCAATATTTTTTGATTTTTTTTTAATGATATTCTCCAACGTCATGCTCGTTTTTCGTATCTTCTGCTTCTCTTGTATTTTTAGTGCGACGAGCTCTGTGGAATAATTTATTTGAGTATATGTATATATATTATATATACACACGCACACACATTGATAATATGAGGTATTATTCGATATGCAAACTATGTCTAAGAATATGCGTAAAAATGCAGCAATCGGTCACTTGTAAGGAAATGGGAGCTCTGCGGGCAAGCCAAGATAGTTGTTACATGTAAGAATCAGCAAGAAATGTAAGCCGGCGAATCTGCTTTTATTTGCATATATCTATTAAATTACAAAAAAAAAAAAAAATTCATTTAATTAACATATTTACCATTTACCCTTTTTTTTTGGAATTATTTTAGGAATAAGCTGAAAGAAGCTGCCGAGAGTATTGGCCTTCCGACTTTCACAGTCGCTGATGCAGGACGTACCCAGGTATATTATATTCTTTTTTAAAATAAATAAATTTTAAAAAATCCGACTGAATTTATGCAATTATATCCCGGCATCTTTTTTTGTAATTTAAACAAATTGTGGCCATTTTTTTGTTTCAGGTTTCGGCTGGGTCGAAGACGGTTCTTGCTATTGGACCCGGTTTGTTTCTCGTTTAATCTTTTTATTACCACACGATAATCGAACTATTTATCGCATTTTTTCAACTCATCTCTGAATATGTTATAGAAACGAAGTAAAATCACTGAATTATATAAGGTTAAAACTCGATACAAATACTATACTCGTTCCTTCTTCTGCATATCAATGTGAATTTGGAAAATCAAGAAAGTTATGCGCTCGAATACGATATTATTATATATTCACCATACGTCTTTAATTTTTCGTTTCGAATGTGGTGTGTATTATTTTTAGTTTGTATGAATAACAAATTTAATGTATTGGACAGGAAATAAATCTGCTGTTGATTCGGTAACTGGGAAGTTGAGGTTGCTGTGATAATTCTGGCTATCTATTTATATATTATTATTTATTTATAATATTCTTAGAGAATTAATTACCATTGTTCTTATGTATAAATTCTCTTTAGCTACTAATATATAGGGCCTTGCTATGAATTTCTGAAGGCTATTATTGCAAAACAAATTTTCATCTTCTTTTTATTTCTTGTGTTTATATATTTATTTATCTTTCTTTATTATTATTTTTTTTTTTTTGTATTTTTTTTTTCGTAGATGAATAATGCATTACTGTACACAACTATTTGTTTATTTACATTATTTAGCAAAATAAATAAGAAATATTTAATGATTCACATTCCCCCCCACAAGTATTAATAATCTCCTAATTAATATATAACCATCACTAAGAAAATAAAATAAAAATTAAGAAAACATTGAGTATTGAAGATTTCCTAATTATTATTATTTTTTGATGAATATTTATGAATACAGCTATATTCAATAAATATTTAAATATTTTGGGTAAATTACTACCTTCCCATTGAGGTAAAGTCTATTTACGAAGAAAGAAAAAAAGATCCTCATTTTTCCATAATTACATACACCTCCTTGAAGTTTGTAGATTTCTTACTTTAACACCCTTTTACAGGGGTTAATGTAAGACATTTACAAACTACAAGGAGCGGGGAGCAATTTCTCAAATATGAGTAGCTGTTTCGTAAATTGACTTTATCTTAGGGAGGTGGCTGTAGTTTACCCTAAATAATTTAACAATTACAATCGAAGTACAACATCTAAAGCAGCGGGTACAAACATACTGCAGATTCTAATACCTCCCCAAAACCCTCGTCTCCTAAATCCAGTAAAGAACTATCCAATATTTTGTTCTCAACAACAATGGCGTCTCGCTGCAGAACAATCTCCAGACCAGCAATCAACCTTTTCCGATCCGCCGCCGCGAAGCCGGCGACCACTCCCGCCTTTTCCTTTCAACCAACACGCTCCTCTTCAGCTCTTTTCTCAAGGTTGGTCTTAATCTTCAAACCCTAATTTCAGTCCCTTTTTTAACAATTCCTTTCCTGAATCAAAATTAAATGTAATTGTATTTTTTTTCTTAATTTTAATCCGCATCTCAAATGCATTTTCACCGTTAATTATGCGAAACATTTTTATTCAACGTTTAATTTAATTTAATTTTTTTATTTAAATCATAAATTGAAGATCTGGTTTTTGTGCTTTCAATTATATGAAGTGTATAATCTCACTACCTATTTTTGCACACATCCACATGTATGTGTGTGTAATATGTGTTCGTCTATGGTGAAAAAATATCCCGGTGTAACATCGACAAAATCCCCCAATTTATTTTTTAATTCTGAATCTTTCGATAATTTGAATTTCAGGCCAATGCCACAAATTGCAGCACTACAGTCTCTATTGCCTCTACACTCAGCCATTTCGTCGGCTCGGCTTACCTCTTGTCTAGGCGCAGACACGTGCCGATCTTTGTCTCAGGGTATGCTCTGCATTACCACCCCTGGAGTTTGATACAATTTTTCGTAATGTTTCTGTAAGCATACTTCATTTTTTTTTTCTTTTTATATATATCATAACCAAGATTCTGTATTTTCTCGACAATTAGTTGTTCTTATATGCCCTATTTGATTACTCGGGTTCTAATATTTCGTCGCAAATGAGTTCAAGTTAAATCATTTCAGGATTTCTCGTGATTTTTTAATTTGGGATTTATTGCTGCCTTTCAATCGGTGATTTTTTTTCATATCTATTCTCGTTTGTTTGCCTTTTTTTTCTCACCATACGTTTAACAATTCGAGAAGGAATGTTCTGGGACCAGCCTACCACCTGATTAGTTAGGCTTCAATTGTCTACATTTGCGGGCGCACAAGTATTAAGAAAGAGGTTATGTTTTTTACCTAACTGGAATGTGATCCCGTAGTATCAAAACTATTATTCTTTTAATAAGAATTGTATTAGTTTTTTGTTCTCATGCCCATCTTAAACATACAATAACTGGGCTGAAAAATCATTTTCGTTTTAGTTTCTTGATCCTTGCTAAGGTGTTATCAAGAAACGACGATATTTTCTGCTAAATTTATCTTATTTACGGACCTAAGAAGTTAGCAATAAAAATAATAAAGTCTCGGGTCTTAATTAATTACCCCCTTTTCTTTACTTCCTTAGATACAAGATGCTATAAGTTACTACTTACTAGGAAACGAGCTATTAGTCTTTATCGAACAAGGAGGAACTCTATGGCTTAAATTCTTAGTATATATATATTTCTTGTTTGCACTTTTGGGGTGGGGGTGATTAGATACGAATTACGATATCTGGATCTCTTCCTTATACATTGTTCATTTTCTTATTTCAGAAATAGGGCTCTCTGTGCCCCGATAACAGATGAAATGTCGAAAAGGTTGAAGAAGTTACTTGATTTTGATGGATCGTTGCTGCTTATTAATTAAAAATATACTTCGATTAAATTGTTAAGACAATTTTGTATGAGCAATATTTCTGGATTTTTCATTACTTTGGATGGCATCTCTCTGTATGGAACTTCTCTTGCACTCCCAAATTTAACCTGTTCGGCATATTTTCCTCGTTTGTTGCAATGATGTAGCTTTCGAACTTAGATGTGTGTATTTTTCACTTTTAAGAATGATGTGCTTTCTTGATTGGGTATTTAGCGATATCGAATTCCCGTCCCATATTTTTCTGGAGTAATATTTCCCAAAATCCCAAGTAGAGAAATCCCGATCGGTTCGTGAATCCCCGTTCCAAATTGCCACCCCTAATTTGGTATATAAAGAGTATATTTCTATACATGTATTGTTCTTACAACAAATGTGATTTTGAGCATTTTCCATTCCAAACATGGCATTCGAAACACTAAATTTGTTTTACTTTGAATTAACTTTTTAATCCAACTTAAATCAGCTAAATTGGATGTCGGGGAGATCGGGGGAGAGATATGTATGAATGAATGAACGAACGATCAATTTCTACAACTTTGATGTGGAAGTTTTCTATGATTCAGACTGTAATTCATTCACGCATCCAATCTAATTAAGTCGAGTTATAGTAGAAACAAAACTCAAAGTATTGCATATTATATGATTTAATTTTCCCCAAATCCGTACAGAAATATTGTCAAAATCACATTTGAAGTCCGAACACATTACCTATAAAATCCAATTATAGACATAAATAAAATTAGTACATATTTTTTAATTACAAGTTAGAATTTTCAAAGTAAAAGAGTACTTTTCAGAAAAGTGAGAAAAGGAGAGTCGAGGTGAAATTGTCAGCACGGTGGTGGAGAATTGGAGACAACCCTCTTTACAATGAACATGGAAATATGCATGGAATGGAACCCCATTATCTTTTCTTTTTTTATTTAATATTATATAAAACTAAATATATCTTCATTTTGTCCCCACTCTTCTTAATTAATTATTAATTTTGAAACCAATTACAATCCACAAATGGCACTTAGGAATTTGTACCCCCTTTTTTAAAAAATTAAATTGATGGAGTAGCGTTGAAGATAGATAAACTAGTGATATTTGCCTATTTTATAAAACTATGTATATATATTATTATTAATAATAATAATAATAATAATAACTTACTCAAAAAAATAATGATAATAACTTATAAATTAACTGCTTACTCGCAATCACTAAATATTTTTAAAGGCTTTTGCAAATTAAACACCATGAAGAAGAGGCATGTGATACTGATAAAATGATGCCCCTAGAAAAATAGTATATATAAATTAATAAGAAAAATATAAAATATTTCTTACTACACATTTTCAACTTTCATTAGTTATAACTCATTTGCCTTCAATTATACAGTTTCCTGCTGTATAATTAAATAATCCTTTGCTGCAGAGGACAACACTGTACGTTGGCTCAGAATTATTTGTATTTTTTATATTTATAATTTGGAAAATAATATTATTAATAAACTAATATTATGTATTCAGTACACAAATAATAAATGTTGGTAAAAATTAAGATTCCCTTAATTAAAAAGTACAGGTTAGTAGGCCTATGGATTAGAGATGCCTGGGATCACACATAGACTATATATATATATATATATATATATATATATATATATATATATATATATATATATATATATATATCGTTCTTAATTAATTTTTATTTTTCCAGCTTTGTACAAATATTAAGAAAATATATTAAAAAGATTAAAATAACCTTTATTGTTTAAGATGTGAGAAAAGAGAATTAATATTTAGATTTGAATTAATAAGATTAAAATAAGTAAAAATTTGCATTTTATGATTAATCTCTCAACCAAGCGGTGCCTCTAAGGAAAAAAAAAACCACACTTAAAAAAAGGGATGGAGTTTAAAATAGAAGCCTATGAAAAAAGAGAAATAATAATTGATTGTCACATGTTACGTAGTGCATGAAAGTAGGGCACGTCTAAATTGAATTAGGTAGTGAGGTAAAATTGAATTCCGTGCAAAATAATAATATATTATTAGTATTATTCATCCCAACACCTAACGGATTTCAGTGAAGGTACCAGAAAACAAGGTAACTAAATAATAGGGATAATTTATTATTATTGTTATAATATTAAATAATAAAAATTATTATTATTATTATTATTATTATTATTATTATTATTAGTTTGTGGCTATTGATATTTGTGGTAAAGAAAACAAAGAACGTATATATTTTTAGTATTTTGCTACTAACATTCTCTGTAATATCTTTGGTACATTTCACTGAAATTCATGTACCTAGAAACCCAAAAATTATTTCTACTCATATTAATATTAGTAAAATAGTAATTCGTAATATAATGAATTATATTGGAACAAATTAAATTAAGCATCATAGAGTTTATTAGGGTTGTAAATAATTTAGATATTTACTGTATCATCATTTTTTGAAACTCTTAAACCGAAGTTTAATTTGAATAATAAAATACAATATATAATCTGTACATGGTATATAATAATAAGGGTAAATTACTGCCAACACCCTGAGGTAATGTCAAATTATGAAGAAAAAAATTATGCTTGGTTAATTAAAATAACCCCTCAATTATAAATCTTCTTACACGTCCATCTTTACGATGTTAAATTAAGTGAACTTCTAGATTATATGGAATATTCTTCAATTTGTACCTGTTTTACCCATTCGAGCTCCACAATTCTGAAGCAAGATGATCGTAAGATGTGTTTCTTGAACTTGTAAATATCAGATTGTGGTACATCAGAAACTGTTTTTTTTTTTTTTGCACAAAACAAATACAAATTAGAGAATATTCCACAGAATCTAAAAGCATATGTTAAATTCGATATCATAAGGGTCGACGTGTAAGAAGACTCATAATTAAGGAAGTTTTCATAATTACCTAAACATAAAATATTTTTTCGTAATTTGACTTTACCTCAGTTACTGTAATTTACCCGTAATAATAATGCAAAGAGAAATCAGAAGAAATGATAAGTTCTTCATATAACCAAAATTGGTTCAATAATTTGCCCTATTTTGGCAAATCCATTATAAAAAAAAAACAGTGCAAAAATTCAATAAGTTAGGAATTAATGTTGTAGAAAACAAAAAAAGAAAAAGAAAAAAAAGAAAAATAGGAAAATTCCCTAAACCTCATTTCTAAAAAAAGAAAAAGCTAAATCAACTGCCGGAAATCGGGGCCGATATGTTGATGAATCAAGTAATCATCGCCGCCGTTGGATACGTCAAACATCATACTCTGATGGTGGTGGTGGTGGTGGTGGTGGTGGTGCAGAAACTGCTGCTGCTGCTGCTGCTGCTGTTGAGCTCTCATCTGCTCTTTCTGCCGCCTCAGCTCTACCACTTTCCGGTGAGAATTCGAGTGCTTCGTCAGGACAAACGTGGGGCTCGCCGCCGGCCGATACTCCGGCACCAGCCGCCCCGATTTGTACCTCACCCCGCACGCATTGCACAGCGTCTTCGGCCCCATCGGCCCCGTCCGCCACTGCGGCGTCTTATCGGTGGCGCAGTGGACGCACCTCCTCCCTTCGCCGCCGCCGGCGGAGGATGAGTTCTCCGGGCCTTCCTTCTTCTTGCTGTACACGGCCGACCTGGCCGCGGCCACGTCGGACTCCGACGAGGAAGAGGCGGCGGGGACGGCGGCGTTGGCTTGCGGCGCCGCGAGGAGGCGCGAAGTCCAGTTCCCCGGGGCCGCGGCGCGCGAGCGCTTGCTGCGGGCGGCCTTGGCGGGGGCAGAAAGTTCGGGGCGGAGGATCCGACCCGTTTGGGATGATTCGGGCTGGAAGTGGTACTGGTGGTGGGTATCCGGAACCGGAAGTTGGTCGGGTCGGGTCTTCATTCCTTGGATAATGTGCAGCTTCTGCAAATCGTCGCTGGAAAACGATTCCTCCACAAAATTCGATAGCCATTCTAGCTCAGCCAAATCATCATACTGTAATTATATAATTAATTATTAAAAAAATATTCAAAAAATTACTCAATTTAATTTGTTACATCTCTCTCCCATTTAAAATAAAATTAGAATTTACATTGAATTATATGTATCAATTATCATCATGTATGTATACTATATATATATACACATACCGGGACACAAAGTTCACCGGAGAAGTGGCCGCCGCGGGACCCAGCAAAGTCGGCAGATTGGTACTGAAAATGCGGCTGATCAGCATTGACGGCGGAGAAGGAGGAGTTGCATGAGGTGTCAACCACGGCGGAGGAGGTGATCGCCGCCGCCGCTGCCGCCTCGTCAAGTACTCCGCCTTCGTCGGAGGACAACATACCCTCGTCGGTGGGGAAGTTCAGAAGGTCCTCAATGACGAAATGGTCCCCATTTTTGGCGTCAGAGAGGCGCTTCTCCGTCGTGAATGTGGCGGCGCCGCCGCCGCCGTAGTAGCACCCTGTTTGGCCGTAGAATTCCGGGGCGGTATCCATTAGGAACTTTCTCGAAAATTAAAGGTAGGTAATTAGCGAAAATATATATGAACAAGAGGAGTGTGTGTTTTTTTGCGTTTTGGTGTGTGTGAGTTTTAGAGAGAGAAAGTGTAGGGAGAGAGAAGTGAGGAGAGGGGGTTTAATTTGCGTTAGAAGGGGACTTCTTTAATATTGGACTTTGACGAGGAAAATATTATTATGCCTTTCAATTTTTTATCAACATTTTCTCTTTTTCTTCTTTTTTTTTTAATGATAATAATATTAGAGATAATAATGATGTGAAATTACTAGAAGGCCCTTCGTATATGGTATGGGGAAAGTGATGATTGGTGGACCACTAGTGAAGTGTGATGTTGGGGATGAATGAGAGTGGTCTTTACTTATGAATTATATATTCTATTTATTATATATTTATTTATATGAATATTGATTAGGATATTTTTGTTATATATATTGTGCATGTACCTATATCAATCATGCATTCAAATTTCAAGATTGTATGTGGTCATTCAACATATTTATTATATATGACTTGCACTTGCATGTAATATATTTAATTAATTAGAAATAGATAATGTGTTCCTCATTACTAAAGAGATTTATTTTTGTTGATTTTAATTCAAACAATATTGTTAGTGAAAATGGTAACCAAAATACAAATTAAGTAATATTCTCAAAGCTGTAGGAATATTCTATTGGATTTAACTACCCAAAATGAATTGATCAAATTTAATTTGAAATGTTCAATATCAGTTGTAAGCTCAACTATTATATATATATATATTTTTTCAAGGATTATTAACTAGTTTTAACTCAAAAATATTTTAGATAACTAAAAGGACACGTGATTTTTTGTAATTGTTAAAGGTCACTTTTGAGAGATTACTTAAAGAGTTTAAATTTTAAACTAAGTATTACATAAATAGCTTAGTTATAGAGTTTAGTTATGTTCAGTGGTCGATTTACTATGGAATATTTACTTATTTGTAATTATCTTTCTCTTATGCAGCTAAATAAAGTGAACCAACAAAATACATAAATCTGATTTTTCAAATACTTGCAAGTAAAAATATAATGAATGGATATAAATCGAACATAACTTATACCTTACCTATTGTGCGAGATGTGATTATATGTGCATGTGTGAGTGTGCATGTGCATGCGTCACTCTGTGGTGTGAGTGTGTGTGTGTGCGTGCGCTTGACTGTGCGTAGAAGAGTTTCAATGGCAACGTCGTAGAGTGAGATTGGAGCAGATCTGAAGAGTTACTCACATGATCAAATTTTATACCGTGCTATAACATTACATTCATGATGACTAGGTTGTACAAGTACAACAATTGTAACTTAAAGTACAACCTACAATCATGTATGATTTGCTTACAAGTTATAACATGCTCGTGTATGTATGTATATATCACCTAGAGATATGAATAACATGAGGCCAATTCATTAATTAATATTCACTAGAAATTGTTCTATTTTCAAGAAAAAAATATATAGAATCAATTAATTATTTTCGTGCAATTTATATACTTTAATTAAATGTGTAATGCAATGTAATTCAACTCTTGCATTAGATGTGTGTAAGTTTTACTCTTTGTCATAGATAATCGTGCTTATAATTTAATTTAATTTAATTGTCAACCACTTTTAAATTAATTAATTAATAAAACTTCTGATTTCCTCCATTTTTTAATTCCATTTTTTATATAATAAAAATTGTGTTTTTTATATATATATCAGCCCATTCAGATTTTCAGACACTCCCACAAATAAGCACGACGGTTACAGCTGGATTCGGGCGGTAAGTAATTAGACACGTGGCTTCGAGGGTGAGATGTTTCCCGTTGTTATTACCGCTTGCGTTGCCACGTCAGCTTTCAGGTAGAAAGTGAAGCTTAATGGGGGACACGTAGCAGTTGAAGAGTAGTAAAGAATCGGTGTGGGCCCCATTTTAAATGAAAACCAATCCCCATGTACATTGTGGATAAGATATTTTTAGTCGTCATTTATTTGCAAGAGATAATAAATAATATAAATATATATTTAACTTGCTCAAATTTATTTGTGATATAATGTAAAGACCTTTAATAGTTATATTTTGAATACTATATGCTTTAATTTATATCATTTAGTTAACATGTCAGAGTATTTACTTATTTTGTTCTATATTTTAATAGAACCTCGATAAATTAATAGTATAACTTAATAATAATTTCTTCTGATATCGACTCGGTAAATTAGTCCGATAATTTAATATTTCTTTAAAATAATAGAATTTTGTTAGTGACATTATGTATTAATTTAGAAAGATTAACTATACTTACCATCATATCAAAATCTAATTCTCGTGCTGGTTAAAATGGTTTATACTAGTTACACAACGTGAAATACATCGGGTAGATCTTTATCACATACACACAGATCTATAATGTGTGTAGATAAACAGTAAAAAATAATCCCGTTTAAGCTTCATCAAGTGCGGCATGGAAAGAAAATTTACTTTTACTCTTAGATTTATTAGATAATCAAGCATCTAATCACTCTCCTTTTTTGACGAATCTTTTTTATTTTATTAAAAAATAAAAAAAATTAAGCTGCATCCTCTTTAATTTTTTAATAAATAAACAAACTTTATAATAAGAAAATTAATCCTCTCCTAATGTCCAAAATCTTGGCACGTGACGGAGAGTAAGGAAGAGAGAGTGTGTCAGCAGTAGTCATGTGAGGGACTAAAACTAAAACAAAATTTATGTCAAAAGCCAAAAGGGACGGTTCTACGCCACGTGGCGACCATCGGATGGTTAGGCTTTTTTGATGCTTCATGGCTGTCTAATGATAATATCCGTAACGTGCGCACACGTGCCGTCCGGCATCACGTGCGTCTATACATCACTCCCCCCGCACATGTGGTCCTCCTCGTGACAAGTCACGTGGGGAACGCTCCTAATCCTACTATTAAGCTTTACTTGAGGTTTCTTTATTTTCCCTCATTAAAAATAAAATTCATTTTTAATCATTAATAAGAAAAAAAAATATTTCTAATAAGACTACACCTCGTCCATGGTGCTACACCCGGTGAAATTCATCGTCTAAATTTCACCTTTGATTTACACACACACGCATCAAAGTGTGAGCGTTACTCTTAGATCATAAAAAGGACATATTTCGTAAAAAATAAACGCACCTTGACATTATAATATGACGTTGAAAAGCCGAAAGGCTTTTGTCGGATCCATTGAAAGCTTCACCAAAGTCGAAACTCCAATTTGGCAAGAAATGAGAACTGAAAACGAAACGGCAAGAAATACAGTGCACTCTGCATTGAAGTAATTATCATTCGACTTTGTACAATACATAAGAAACGACCCCATTGGAGATTTAAAACTACTGCCTAAGGCATTATAGATACAATTTGCAGATAATAATAATAATAATAATAATACATATATAATTTTACATGTTGACGGTTGGCGTAAAAGGATAACAATGGGGGTGGGGGGGGGTCTTCTAGCTGGCAGACAAAGGGTGTCCGATTCTTAAATAGCGCAAAAATATTAAGGCATTGATCCTTTTTATGAACTCTCTCAAGAAAACACGCGACAAAATTACGATGGCTTAAGATACAGTTCTCCCATAGCACATAGAAGCAATGTAAAGATTTTTAGCCCATTTCTCCTGCAAACAACAGATTTAAAAAAAAACGGTCAAGAAGACTAAGGCCGTGTTTGGAAAGAGAAAAATAGTGAAAATGAAAGCTAGAATAGTTTATTTGTTTGGTAAACGACGGAATTTTACCATAACCAAACAAATGGACTATTCTACCTTGTGTTTTTCACTATTTTATTAAATATATTTTCCTTACCTTAACATGTGCACTTGGAAAAGCAGATGTACGAAGCGTCTCCTGTGTTTCATCGGAAGGTTTTCTTCGAGGAATGCTGAGAACTAAGGCCGATTGATCATTCGTTGCTGCAGTTGCTGTGATACGGTACCCAGCCTCCCACCTCCTGTGAATACCCTCACTTGGATAAAGAAAGTCCAATTCCACTACCTGAAAAAAATATATGATAGATTCAAATAATTGTTTTATTTTAATTATATGTGTTTTGGTAACCGTAACAAAAAATGTTGTCTACCTGGTCGGAAAACCCTGCCCCACGTGACATTACAATTGCCCATCTACTCCCTGCAGTAGCCATGGCCGTAACATAAAATCCCTCCCTCCATTTTTTGTTGATCCATTTAAATGGAAACGATTCACTGACTTTATAAGACTGTTGTTGATACTGACTACCTGTATTTATTAAAATTAGAACTTATTAGCTGAATCAAATATCGAATCAGAAAATATTTTCGAGTTTTGAAATGTGACACTTACCCTTCGACATAACTACTAATGAGCTCCCGTTGTGAGCTCCGGCTATTGCACTGATGTAATAGTTCTTCTCCCATTGTTCCATAATCCATTCCTGCAGTTAACACAACAGAAAGTAATTCAATAAATTGTCTGCCAAGTTCATTAAATTTCACAAATATGATGATATGACCTAAAAAAGGCAGTAGTAGTACACAAGAATTAAACGAGACCTTGTGAAGGAAAGAAGGAGAAAGTTCGTAAACTTGAGAACTAAAGCCAGTCCCTGCATCCATGATTAGAGCCCACAGATTCGAACATGATGCCACACTGCTGATATAAAGCCCATCGTCGTTTCCTTTATCAATATGCTGAGCGAGTCTACCATCAACTACATTGTAGTGATATCTACAAAGACCAAATGTAAAATAAATTTCATTTTTTTATTGTTTTTTTGATAAATCCTAAATGAAGTGTTTAGAATTAGAATTAGCGCGTGGTACCTTTGCTTCATTGGCCTTCGAGCATTATACACGCTAATCCATTGAGTAGCAGGCATCCCCATGCGTACCTTCTTCTTTGGTTGCTCATCATCATCATCATCCATCAAAAGACGCCCTCTCTTATGTCCGACTTGATATACGAGCTTCACAATGCAAAAACAAAATTTAACGAGAATAAATCCAAAACTTCCAGAATAGGAAGAAAAAGTTTCAGTCAATTACTCAACAAATACAGAGCAAAATCTGAGTAATACCTTCTGAGCACCTTCAGTATTAATTGGCCTGATATCTGGATTTGGACCAACTATTCCATCAAAGAGTGATATATATTTTGCATAATTAGGCTCTTCGTCAAACTTTAAGTTAACGACAAGCTCGACAAACTGTTTGAAAGGTGCAGGGCAGAAGCAACAGAGAGCTTCTGGAGAAGTTGACATCTTCTTTTTGCACACAAGGAAGCCTTTATTCTCACCCTACATAGAGTATATAGTGTAAGCATCACAAGTGAATTGTTCACAATGAAAATCACATCTCAGACTGCCAACCTGATATCCTTGCCAAGGAAGGCGGCCACGGAGAAGAAAAACGAGTGTGTAAGCAAGTGACTCTAAATCATCCCTCCGACTACCAGTTCTTCCAAGATGAGCATGCACACTAGCATAGCGCACTGTTCCTCTGCAGCAACAAACATTCTCATTCATGAATAAAAACAGCAAGTTGAAAAAAAATGTGACGGTAAACAAGGATAAGCAAGTGGAATCAAAATTTCACCTGAATACATCCGGTCTTTGATCATAGTCAACATGAAGGCCAGTAGAAGTATCACGCCACCGAGTGGCTGCAATACAAAAGGTACGGGAATAACTGATAAGAATTACTATGGTATGATTGTGATAGTTTTAAAATGAAAAAGGCTATAGCATGCTAGGTATATTACCCAATCCAAGATCAACCAGAAAAAGTTTTTTCTCGTCAGGGGTTCCAGGTGTACCAAGCAAAAAGTTCTCCGGCTTTACATCCCCATGAACATATCTGCAGGACTTGCAGCAAGCAAATGAGAGACATTTCTTGAAATAAAGAGCATGATGGCAATATTTTATACATGGGATGGGACTATTGGTGAATACACAACTACTTCAAAATTTGATTATTTAGCAAGACAAAATATTGAGGAAAAATGAACAGTTATAGAATCTCCCTATATGAACTGAAAAAAAACCCTTTCCTACCAAATACCAAAAGGTTGCCATTTAATTAACCATACATCATCAGAAGATATTTCTACCTTCCATTGTACTCGTCATGACTAATTGGAACAACCACTCATCCAATTAGATAATTTATCTTTAATTATACTCATCTCATTTAATATAGACTGCCCTGTCCTACAGTTAGATTATTTAGGGAAAAAGAAAAGGCACCAAGGACAATCCTATTGACTACAATATACATTAAATCCATGACGAAAACAAAAGAATATGGTCGGTCTTGATAAAAGGCGAATGCAAAAACAACTAAAAAATGCACATTTTCAATGCAATTCTGACTAATACTAAAAGTTCACAGAGCATCATTCAAGAAGCTCAACTAAGCTTCTTAACTGTAGTTTAGACATACAATAAGGAAAATCTAGCGTCATAAATGAAGGAAGGCTTCCTAAGGAGAAACAACTTTCATCATGGTTACGGAAATAGCATTCAGTTAGGATCAGTGAGTAGAACCATGCTGATATGCAAACAATAGACCGAAAAATATACCCTTTAGAGTGCAACTTCTCTAAAATGGAGATGGCTTCAATGGCAATACATGCCACCATTTCAATGGACATTCTGCAAAATGGAAGTGTAGGTGTTAGATGAAAGATTATAGAAGAATGCACAACCAAAACAATAAATTTATTATTTTGTTAAAAGAAGGTGACTAACGTGTGAGAGTTGTTGTTCCAAACATCCCACAGACTAGGACCAAGCATATCCATAACCTACAAAAGATGTAGAGTCCTTCATACTATAAGGAAAAGAAAAGGAAAAAGCTCTGGAAGAAATGATGTGCTTTTCAGACACATACCATAATATAGTAGTCACTTTGACGTCCTTTGTAATGTACGCGCGGCACGCCATGACTACCACCAAGTGTACTAGATAATAACACAAAATTTCAGTTCGTTCTTTCTTACTTCTAACAAAGGCATGTCAAAAATTAGAGATTCTTATTTTTTATTAAAAATAAAGAAGAAAAAAAACTCTCACCTATAGACTTGCCATTCATAAGGTGGTCCGTAATTACATCCTTTGCTGCTCTTGTGCTCAAATTTCAATGCAACCTAAAAATAAATGAAAGAATGTAACATACTGCCACGAAATATAGAGCTAGGAGCAGATTATAAGAGGACCAAGTACATACCTCTATGGCCCCTGGTCCTGTTCTTTCGTGCAGACCTGTATGATTGATGCGTCTGCCTACATACACTTGTCCAAATCCACCTTTCCCCAGTTTCTTCTCTAACCTATAAGCTGGAGAACCACCAATCTGGATCTGTAGCAAATAATCAAAGCCTTATCAACACACATAGAAGTGGGATACGACATGGTAAGCTACCACCAGTTAAGAAGATGATTCTTGTCGAACATAAAATTTAAAGGTGAAAAAATATCAACAGAATCCAGTTCAGCTACTGGCACCAGATCGTTGAAGATCATCTGGACTATAACCATAAATGAAAAGTGTCTATGGATTATTCTTCTGTTTGGCAAAATAAAGGTAGATTTCCTAAAGTGATTGAAATACCCTTTTTTACTCATAAAATCCTGTAAAGGTAAAGAGCTTTGCCGCAGGCCACTCAAGTGGTAATGCAACGCATAATAGAAAGAATTTAAGAAGGCAGAAATGCACAATAAATGCAAAAGATATACTAAATTGGAGAATCCATTTGACAGTGAAGCGCCAACGATTTCCCTGCAATCCTCAAATAAGAGTAATTAACACATTCGAGCACATCAAGAAATATACGTTGTGAAACATCATAAACAAATGAAATCAAGGACAGAGTGAAACACAATCTAAATGATAGACAATGAACATAATTTGAACATCCACCTCACCTAATACAGACAAGACCAAATATATGCAATTGTATATATACATATCACATAATCACACAGACCGTACAACCAATATACATGCCATTAACATCTTAAGAACCACAATCCGTAAATATAATTAAACAAAATTTCAAAAAAAACAGACAGAGTATAAATATGTGTGTGTGTGTGTGTGTGTCTCTCTGCATTTATTGGCTTCAAAGTTCAAACACAAAGAAAGCCAGCACAATCAATTTTCAGAAGATAATTAACAATAAAACCACCAGCCCCTCAATCTACCATCTGTCCATCTCTAAAATGCAGAAACATATCGCACCTATTACTCCAATAAACCAAACACCTTACGAAAATTTACACATTCGTTGAAAACCCAAAAAAAAATCATAATACAACCGACAACTTCATCAAACTGTCTGCATAAGATGAAATTCAGGAAAAGATCAACGAAAAAATATAAATGTATATACCCTTTCAGGAAGGGGAGCAGGGCTTCCATCATCATCAGCTCCCAATCCCTTATCGCTTCCCCGGCCACCACTCTCACCCTCATCCATTTTCTTCTCGGATAAGTCTTCTTTCACCTTCTCTGCCACGTCACAGTTGTACCCTACCTTAAACGACGCAGTTTCCTTCAAAGCAGCGTCGCCATTTCCTCCACCAAAACGGTCAATTACCAATACAACCTCTTTATCCTGATTAACAATCCCGGCGTTATTATTTCGTTTTCCACGACTAATTCCAGTTGCCTTACTAATTGGGGCTATTATTCCCTTCTCCTGGTCCGGTCCTACAGCGGCGGCGGCGGCGGGTGGTCGACCTCTTCGCACTCCGCTACGCAGTTGAGGCATACCTATCTCCGTCCATCAATTCTGCCGTGAAATCGCGCGGATTCACCTTCATCAACTCCGAGATCGCCGCCGCCAAGACAGAAATTTTGAATAGGTAAAAACAAAAAAAAAAGGATAATGAACGGAAAACGGAGAAGGACCACGAATCCACGATCGCCGATTGAAGAAAAAAAAACTGTAATCCGACGGGTTTCGAAGTGGAGATAGGGCAAATGATAGGAAATGAAATTAGGGTTACGAAACCTTTGAGAGTTGAGAATTTGGGGGGAAACGAAAAGACGGTGGCTACGAAAAGTGTAGTACTGTGTGGAAACTGGTGAGAGAGAAAACAAGAGATTACAAAGCAGAAGAAGTTACAAAGATTTTTCCCATCAATAAAGTACTTTTTTCTATTATCTATTATATTTTAAAATTATTTTAATTTAAAATGTGCTATATTTTTTTAGTTTTAAGATTAAGATATTAAAATATTTGGATGAAATATAAATATGTAGCTTATAATATTGATAATGTTATTCTAAAACTGACATCAACATTAAAATATTATTACATCAATTTAGAACGTTTGCTAGAAATAGGATATGCAATTGAATCGGGCCTAGCCGAAGTTTGTTGCCTCGGCCCGATTATATTTGAGGCGGCCGCATAGTTGTAAGGTATGTAATTTATTTATTGTTTAATATACCCGAAGTCCAAATAAATACATAAGTCGAATTGAACCTGTAATAACAAGGTCCAGTGATTTATGGGCTCGATCCTAAAGAAATGAAGCCCGATGATATTTATATTTAAGTCAATCCAAATTCCAAGCCCAAATCACATGACCCGATTAACAGTCCTAGCTAGTAACGTACAAGTTTATGTCTAGAAGTATTTCAAAATGTTTTACGAGATCCGAAATTCAAATGGTTCAACTTTTCGTGTAAATTACAAGCTCACATAAATATTTATAATTTTAATTTTGTGATTAACGAACATTATTTTAACAAACTATGAACATAATTTTAGCAAAATTATAAGCTTTCATAAAGAATCTGCATTAAAAATCGAAGTAACCATTACCAAAAAAACCGAGCATACGATGCTTTCGATTCGATAAATATAACTGCCCACTAATCATTTTCTCACCTATCGAAATAAAATTTAAAAAAAATACAG